GGGGACCCAGCACTGACGTGTGGAAAGGTTCATGTCAAGTGCAACTGAAGGCAGTAACAAACAGAAGGCCTATGTACTTGTATGTGGCTGGTCGCTTCCTGGGAATTGGATTTCTTGATGGCGGATGTACAGGAAAGCAATCCTGGAGAATGCAGCAGTAAGCTTGGAAATTAATAATAACATCTTTCACATCAGGATCCAGGTTCCCAGACACGGGCTGGCTTTGAGGAAGGTCATTTCTCCCCGACACTAAAAGTGAAATAAAGCAGTTTAAATTAACATGAGGACCAAAGTACTCAAATGTAAGCAAAATCATAGCTATTTGAAAATATTCTTTAGATAATAACTTGGTATAATTCAAATGAATGAAATTTATATGGAGAAATTCTGACAAACTGCATGTTTTATTGAGAAGCATGTAGTCAAAATATCTTGAAAAATGAATGTTTTACAATCTAAAAATTATTTCAAAATATTTTTATTTTCAAAAAATAATTAAATAATAAAAATGAAGACAAAATATATGATGACAACTTCCATTGTACTCATTACCTCTAATTTTGTGAAATAAATTTTGGGGCCACATTTAAATTAAAAATGTTTGTGTCATCTCCAAACATAAAATGTAAGTTTTTAGTTCAACTCAAGGCTTTCCCAACATAAATTTCACCTCCAGTCCTTTCATTCAACAAACATTTCTTGAATCCTGCTATATAACACATTTGCTCATTAAGCATTTTTTCTCCTCCTTTAGACAAAGCATTAGATAAAATAACCGCTTCTGGCTAATGAATACATACCCAAGTAATACAGAGTACTAGTGTTTGCTTCAAGGTGCCAGTCTCCATTCTTGCTGGTATTCCAGCTCAAGGGATTTGAGGAGCCATTCCTCATATCAATAACATTAAACATATCAGGATTTTGAGTGAAGTTATGAGATATAATGACATAGTCTTCTTCCTATAAAAGTTTACAAAAAAGTGACTTGTTTTATGTGTTAATTCCCTCCCTAATATACATTAATTAAGATGACAGAATTAGCCCATATATTAGGACAAGTTTTGGTTTTAGTTTCTTTTTCATCTTGCATTTATATTTTATTAACATTTTATATGTCTATAGCAATAATGCTAACGCTGTCACTAAAGCAATAAAAGCCTCTCTTTACATATATTATACACACACACACGCACACAATGCAACAATTCTAGGGTTCTTTTTTTTTTTTTTTGGCTGTACATATGTAGTATAAGAATATGAATGAAGAAAATGAAGACACCCAATTCAGGATAACGGTTACCATTAGAGGTGGAGAGTAAGGAGATCAGTGTAAGCCATAAGCCATACAGGGAACTTCCACTTCATCTAAAATGTTTATTTCTTTTAAAAATCAAATGTAAATATTCAGGGTAAATTCCATTCAGATAGAGGTGGGTGATGGACACAACAGGACTTGGACTATTTTCTAGAATTTTCTGTGTTTGATATATTTCATATTACTAATAATAAAGCCCTTGACTGGTATCTGAAACATCATAAGCACTCAATAAATGTTAGTTATTATGGTAATAATAACAGGGCACAAGTATAGCACCTTAGGACTATGGCAAGAAGATTGCTTACTTCTGATTCTTAAATAGGATCCTTTTTTTTTTTAACTCGTCCTAGATTTAGGGTGAGTCATGGAGGGGGTATTGGACTTTAACAGGCCCACATGTGAGATGAGAGCATTCTGGTCCAAACAATCGGAGTAAGGATAAGAATGTACCCTGTAGTTGAGTAACGTTCAATCTTAATTATTAGAAGATGGATGTTATAGCTCTTTGTTTACCTTAAATCCATAGAATGTTGATGTGTATGATATGTTGGTTATGTGATCCACACCTTTAAAGTACCAGTTAATGTGCTTTGCATTTGGAATCAGAGCCATCCATCCAGACATATGAGTCAGTCTTTTCTTCCGAAAGGGAACAATGCTTGTGCCTGTAGGAGAATATAAAACAAACAAATAGTAATCTTTACTTCTAGAAAATCCCTCCTTTTATGAACAAATGCAAATGTAAAATATCTGTCTATCTATGGAAGTCTCTAAACAGGCCATATAGCATTTCACTATATTCCAAATGTCAATGTTGAATGGAAACATAAAATGTTTCTCACTTGGACTTTTGAACT